TTGACTTACATCTGCTTAGTTTATAATAGTTTTATAATATAAATAGTAATGGTAATATTTGTCATTTCCTTATAAGGAAACATTAAGCATAGACATGTATATACGTTTTTACCAAAAATGTCTTTCAGACACTGACGAATAAACACGTCCAAAACATAATGTTCAAAAATGATCTACAGACGTGTTTACACATCAATCTTGATACTTTTTATGCCCATATGAGCTTGACATGAGTTCAACTGTCAAGTAATGCATCAAGTAGAGGTAATAGCTACAGATGTGTTTATATGTCGATTTTGATTCTTTTTATGCCCATATGAGCTTGACATGAGTTCAACTGTCAAGTAATGCATCAAGTAGAGGTATGCTTCTACAGATGTGTTTATATGTCGATTTTGATTCTTTTATGCCCATATGAGCTTGACATGAGTTCAACTGTCAAGTAATGCATCAAGTAGAGGTAGCTACAGATGTGTTTATATGTCGATTTTGATTCTTTTTATGCCCATATGAGCTTGACATGAGTTCAACTGTCAAGTAATGCATCAAGTAGAGGTAATAGCTACAGATGTGTTTATATGTCGATTTTGATTCTTTTTATGCCCATATGAGCTTGACATGAGTTCAACTGTCAAGTAATGCATCAAGTAGAGGTAATAGCTACAGATGTGTTTATATGTCGATTTTGATTCTTTTTATGCCCATATGAGCTTGACATGAGTTCAACTGTCAAGTAATGCATCAAGTAGAGGATGTGTTTATATGTCGATTTTGATTCTTTTATGCCCATATGAGCTTGATGAGTTCAACTGTGTTTCAATATAATTCTACAGATGTGTTTTTTCGATTGATTCTTTTATGCCCATATGAGCTTGACATGAGTTCAACTGTCAAGTAATGCATCAAGTAGAGGTAATAGCTACAGATGTGTTTATATGTCGATTTTGATTCTTTTTATGCCCATATGAGCTTGACATGAGTTCAACTGTCAAGTAATGCATCAAGTAGAGGTAATAGCTACAGATGTGTTTATATGTCGATTTTGATTCTTTTTATGCCCTTCTGAGCTTGAAATGAGTCTAATTGTCAACTCATATGTCTGGTAGAGATGTTAGCCACCACTAGTTCAAGGTGCCACTGTTTTTTAGTTACTATATTTTGTGATGTCAACAAACACTTGTTGCCACTTTTGTAATGTCAACGAATACTCATCGTCACTTTGCAATCGCAGATACAACTATAGTAATGCTGTTGAAAATGGGATCACCTGTGTTTGCCCTCTGGTGATCAGTGTTCAAACTTTAGTGTCGGCAGTGACATTTTATTTCTATATAACATTATATTAAAAAAAATTTTTTTGAAAATAAAACATTTTTCCCAAAATAATTGGCCGGGGAGGGGTTAAAACAATTTTTCAGCAAAATGGGTTTCTCAATTCTAGTAGCTGTTATTTCTCTTTTTAGTATTGACAGGAGTTTCCTTCATAACCATTTATTTGTAGGGTAGAATGTCAACATTGTGATTATGCCATTATTTTCTCATCAATTTACAGGTGCCATCCATTTTAGTTGTTGCTGCTGTTGAAAGTCCTCAAGTGACGTGGTTTCTTTTAATTTCTGCAGTTCATTGTTTGTGATTTCTGTAGTGCCAATCACTTAAAGCCATTTTTAATCATTGATCTGAAAATGGTTGTATACAGCAGACAGTTTAGATATTACTGAACAGGTTTGGTAACATGGATGACATCCAATATGAATGTCTCTATCTGACGAGGCCATTGAAGAACAGGACTCAAATTTTCAGGTTAATGTTTGAGTTTTGTAGCAATCTGAGGTGTTGGGTGAAACTAACTCTTGAACAGCCTATTCTATATTCAATTTTTTTTTTTATCTCCTATGCTAAATTTATTGTAAATGATCCACACAGAATGGTATCTGAAGTGTTTAGTATTTACTAAATCTACATCCTGAATTTTATGATGGATTCAGAGTACGTGTCATCACTTGTTTCATTCCAATTATAGATCACAGTTTCTGCTTTGGAAAGATAGGTATAGAATATTATCATATATGCAAACTTTTGTTTATTTAATCCAGTGGTACTCAACAGGGGTCCATGTAACATTACCGGGGGGTCCACACAAGAAAATAGAAAATTGGAGATTCATAGTAATATTTTACTGTTCCATAAAGCAATTTCACTTCAGAATGATTGTTACAACTGAGAATTGGAATTTCTATAGTAATCTAAGTCTTATTAAAATACCAAAAACAGAAAAACAACTCTAAAACTAGCAGAAAACAAGTGATGCAAGTTAAACATCCCTTTTACTTTACCAGATGTTTTGATTGTAAAAGTTGAATAAAAAAAATGAGGAGGATATATGGATTATATATATATATATATATATATATATATATATATATATATATCAAATATCTGGTGCAGTTTAATTTATATTAAAATGATTCATTCATAAAAAAAGTAGATTAGTAGATTAGCCATTTTATATCATTAACTTTACTAATCTACTTTTTGTATGATTCATTGTAATATGTATATATATATATATATATATATATAAAAGAAAATTATATAAAGATTATATTTCTGAGATGAGGTATTATGTACAGTATTTACATTAGTCGGACTATTGTCCTCATCTTTGTTGCCATATCTGTCACAACATTTCGGCCGTTGTACGCTCCGGCCTTCTTAAGGTGGTTGGAATTTCGAACTGAACCCTTTATTTCGATCACTGGGGTAGACTGTTCTAGTTCCACGTGCCATGTTTGATGGATGTCAGTTATAAGTTATCTCCTGCTAATTTTCCCTCTGAAAGTTCTCCACTGCCTTAACCAGGAATTGAATTCACCTTCTTTGGGTCTGTCACTAATGTAAATACTGTATAAAGATTATAATTTATTATATAAATTATTTTAGTATATTAGTAATATTAGTTTTAAATAGTAATAAAATAAAATATTGATATAAATTAATTTACATAAAATATTTAAAAAATAAAATATTAATAATAAAATTAATATATAAATTATATAAGGATTATATATAAAGGAAGCATATGCATTTACTATTTCTATAATACAATTCCTATTAGTAAAAAATAAAATAAGCTTTTTTCAACAAATGGTTGGGATAAGTACAAAAAAAAAATTAGGAGTAAAAGTGGTCCATGGGTATAAAAAAGTTGAGAGAACAACCGGTTTAATCACTTTGATGAATTTCAGACTCATTTACTCATAGCTAAACGAGCACAATGCTTTGTATGTTTTGCATGCTGGTGGCAAAAAGTGCATATGTACAAGTGCAATCTTTATAGCACTAACACCTGATGAATGTGAGTTCAGAGTGCATTTAAGGATTCACTTGAAGTGGGAGACTGTGTATTTGTTCACAGCTGTTAAGAAAAGAAGCGATTTTCAGCAATCTATGGTGGACCATGCATTCCATGATTTATGGTGTTGTAGTTAGTTCTTTTCCTTACCACTGAGGAGACTGTTTGAAAGTCTCTGCCTGTGTTCGCATCACAGAACCAGCCTGATCAGAAGAACAGTCACAAAATTCCATAATGCGCAAAACTCCACTCATTTTTCTGTGAACATATTCATATCTGATTGGTAGTTTTTATTACTTGAGACATAACACCTATTTTTTTCAAGGATTTGATTATGAAAGAAAGGCAATCAGTTAATAATGAGGCTATATATATATAGATAGATAGATAGATAGATAGATAGATATATATTTTCAGACATTTTTTATGTTTATACATTCTTTTTTATAGATACAAATATTTAAGTAAATGCTCTGTTTATAATAAACAGTATTAACAACATTTACCGGCCTGAATGTCTGAGAAATTGTCATAGAAAATATGTGTCCTCCGACAGGAATCAAACCTGTATCCTATACAGAACCGTCATATAGCCTGATGTGCTTTTACCGATTTCACCACAGAGGAGTGTTTCAGTCAGCAAAGTTGATTTTACTGTTTTTTTAAACTACAATTTTCCATGATTTTCTCACATACATTCATATCTGCTCAATATGTATCCAAATGTAAACAAATGATGTCAGACATTATGAAATGGACAAAGTTTGACAATTATTTTAAGACATCTTTATGTTTATACAAAAAGAATGTATAAGCATAAAAATGTCTTAAAATAATTGTCGGACTGTGTCCATTTCATAATATATATATATATATATATATATAATAGAATAATCCTAAGAAGCCAGGTAAACCTACTTAGGTTTCACCTAAATGGATCTTCAGAGTAAAACTGGCTTCACTTTTCCCCTGAAGAAACGTTTAGTTGAAACCTAGGTAAGTTTACCTGGCTCCTTAGGATTATTCTAGTTTATCGCTCTACTTTAGCGTATTGAGCACTCTACATTTAGTCTTTCTACTCGTTTGGGGTTTTTTTTTTTTTTTTCTTTGGACTTGGAGCTTAACCACTTGACGATTGGTTTCATATTGTGTTAATCTTCTTGGTTCTTTCTTTTTTTATTTCCAATTTTTTCCTTGGGTATCAATTTTTTCTATTACAAGTTGAGCTATCTGAGGTTTTCCAAACGGGTATAACCATATATATATATATGTGTGTGTGTGTGTGTGTCTCTATATTTCTGTGATGATGTATTATGTACACTATTTATATTCCCCTCTCCAAGTTCTCCAAGAGCATGAGTTCAATACCTGGTTAAGGCGGTGGAGAACTTGGAGAGGGGAATTAACAGGAGATAACTGACATCCATTAGACATGGCATGTGGAACTAGAACAGTCTACCCCAGTGAGCGAAATAAAGGATTCAGTTCAACATTCCAACCATCTGAAGAAGGCCAGAGCATATGACTGAAACATTGTGATAAATATGGCGACAAAGATGAGGACAATAGTCCGAATAATGTAAATAGTATAAAGTTTTTATTTGAATAAAAAATATTAAAAATATGCTTGAAACTTTTGCATCACCTGACTGAAATAGATGAACAAAGAAAGTGACAGGAGGATGAGCAAAATGAGATAGAGGTAGGTAGCTGAAATGACTGAGAGAGATAGATGAACAGGTGGGAGGAAAGAGAGATGAGCAGACAAAAAGAGATGGCAATAAACATACTGAGAGAATGAGAGAGAGTAAAACATGAATAGATTAAAAGAGAGAAAATACATAAACAGACTGAAAGGAAGGAAGATGAAAACACAAAAGACAAAGAATGATATAAACAGACTAAGAGGCAGAGTGAAAGGGAGATGAACAGATTCAGATAGAGAGAGAAATAAACAGACTGAGAGAGAGAAATGAACAGTCTGAAAGAAAGAGGGATATGAATAGACTGAAAGAGAGAAGAGAGGTACATGAACTGAAAGAGAGAAGAGAGGTACATGGACTGAAAGAGAGAAGAGAGGTACATGGACTGAAAGAGAGAAGAGAGGTACATGGACTGAAAGAGAGAAGAGAGGTACATGAACTGAAAGAGAGAAGAGAGGTACATGAACTGAAAGAGAGAAGAGAGGTACATGAACTGAAAGAGAGAAGAGAGGTACATAGACTGAGAGAAGGGAAGATGAACAGTCTGAAAGAGAGAGATATATATGAATAGACTGAAAGAGAGAGGGAGATTATGAACAGACTGAAAGAGAGAGGGAGATTATGAACAGATTCAAATATAGAGGGATATGAATAGAGATATGTCTATATATGTGTGTGTATATATATATATATATATATATATATATATATATATATATATATATATTTTTTTCATCTCCACATATAAGATTATACTCCCAACTAAAAAGTGAACATAAGTGCAAGAAGCTTGCAGCAATGAAGAGAAAATCCTATTACTTGTATTTTTTGTCTTGTGTTACACAGCTCCATGCACAATTGCTGCCAGCACTGAGATATCATTGCATCACTTATGTGCATTAATGTGCATTGCAGTCTGAGAATAAGCCATGCACTTCCCTCTGTCATAAACACCTACCCATTTACCCTTTGTCATACATGAGCCAGACATTACATCATTCAGAATACCTCTGCCATTTGAACAGTCCCTCTAAAACACCTGTGATGGTAATGGTAATATTAGTCATTTCCCTAGAAGGAAACATTTGGTATTCACTGATCTAGAAGCCAGTACTGCTCTCAGTTGAAATTTATAAAATCTTTCTCTTAAAACAATTTATCTGGAAAATAGATTTCTTAAGTCCAGTAGCTTTTATCACTCTTTCCATTATTGATAAGGGGTTTCCTTCCTAACAGTTTATTTAAAGTAATGTGGAATGTCAACATCTTGACTATGTCATTATTTTCTCTTTGAGTTATATATACTATCCTTTTTAGATGTTGCTGCTGTTGGTAGTCCTCAAGTGATGTGGTTTCTGTTATTTGGTAGAGTTCTTTGTGATTCTTTAAATGGATGCGCATTGAATAAGTTTTTTAATTGAGAGAAGAATTACCTTAATCAGGACTATGGAGAAAAAAGTTAATGATTTTTGTAAAAATTACTGGGAAATTATGCCAAAAAATGGCAAGGCAGAGGAGTGATGATTTAGGAGCAAGTGAGAAATAATATAGCAGTAAAAATCATGGAAGAAAAGATGAAAGAAGTGTAGAGATATATCAAAAGAAAAGCAAAGAAAAGAGAAAAGCAGAGACAAAGAATGAAAGATGTGTGAGAAATTATGTGAAAAGGTTGGGAGAAATATAAAAGGAAACAGAAAGAGTCTGGTGGGATTATATAAACAGACTTAAAATTGTTGGAAGAAAGAGGGAAAGGTAAAATAAAAGAGAAGGAAATGAGAGAAGGTGGCAGAAAAACGGGAGAGGGAGTAAGTTTAGAAGAGTGAGGGTGAGTAGAATAGGAAAAAGGGTAAAAAAAAAAGAAGGAAATGAAGGCTGAAAAGGAGAGAAAAGAAGTGGAATTGAATGGGTGAGAAAAGAGGGAAGACTGAAAAGGATAGCGATAAGGGGAAGGCTAAGATGGAGGCTGAAAGAGAAAGGAGGAGCAGACAGAAGTGATAAAGCAGGAGAGAGAGGGAGAAAAATGAACAAGGCTGAAAGGTGAAAAGAGAAGTGAGGCTGAATGAAAGATAAAGGAAGGGAGCTTGAAAAAAGATAGAATTGAAAGGAGGATGAAAATGATAAAAGGAGAGGGAGGCTGAAAAGAATAGGACGGAAAAAAAGGCTGAAAAAGGAGAGAAAGGAAGAGAGGGATAGGAAGCTGAACAAGGAGAGAAGAGAAGAGAGACTGAAATAAATAGGGAGAGTAAGATGGAGGATGAAAGAAAAAAGATGAACTGGGCAGAAGCAATAAAACATAAGTGAGTAAGAAAATAACACAAGAAGAGACAAAGAGAAACAGTTAAATGAAATATGTGAGAAAAAAGAAAAGAAAAGAGAAGATAAAGGATTGTAGAATGAGAAAGAAATGGAAGTAGTAAGGACATAAGTGAGAATAATAGAAAA